CGCGGGTTCAGGCAATCCACTCACCTCAGCCTCCCAAAGGCGCGCGATTACAGGCTGAGCTGAGCCCGGCATAAATAGATTTCTTATGCTGCTGGGCTCAGGCATTCTTTCTGCCTCAGGCTGGAACCATACGCACACGGCTACCACGCCCAGCTAATCTTTTTGATTTTTTGTAGAGATGAAGTCACGCCATGTTGCTCAGACTGGTCTCCAACCCCAGCTCAGGCAATCCTCCTGCCTGCGCCTTGGAATTGCTGGGATTACAGGCCGTGAGCCACTGTGCTCGCTACATAAATAGATTAAAATAGGTTAAAAGTAAAAGGAGGGAAAAGGACATACTATGCAAAATTAAAAGAAAGCTAGTTATACCGTATTAATATCAGACAAACTAGACAAAGAGAAATACAGGGTCACTTCTTAACGCTATTGAAGTTAATGCAAGAGAACACAACAATCCTAGATATTTATATACCTAACTTCGAAACACAGGAAACAAAAACCGACAAGAATTGAAAAGAGAAAACAGACAAATTCGCAGTTACAGTTGGAGATTTCAATATCCTTCTCTAAGTAATCGAAAAGCTCTCTTCGGCTACCCTGTGACTAGCTTGGAATAACAGACGTACCTAAAGAAAGGTATCAGCTACGGGCTTGCGTCCTACACGCAGTGGCACCGCGAACGGTATAATTAATAATTCCGGTCCTGTATTAGCATATAGATTTTCATTTTCTGCCTAATTGCCCTGAGCCGGCTACACTTAACTGAAGAGCTCGAAGGAGACAATAATAAATCGATAGCCTAGGTTAGTGGCTTTCAAACCTGGGTGTCAGAAGACACCCGAGGGCCCCCTCAAATTCAGATCGCCCGCCCCACCCTACAGTTTCTGATGCAGCAGGCTCGGTGTGGGGCCCAAGAATTTGACATTTTAACACTGTCTCGGGTGATACTGTTGTCCCTGCTCCCAGAACCACATTTTGTGAACCACTGGCGTAGAGTTTGTCATTCCTCTCTCCCCTCAGATCTTGAGTCAGCTCCGAAACAGAAGAGAAGCCGTAGGACCCAACTCCAGCGGCGTGGACGACTCAACTGACCGAGCAACCCAAACGAGAAGCAGATTCCGGGCCACCCAAAGCCGCGCGAGAGTTTACGTGACGTCGTCGACGTCGGCGTCACGTCGGCGTCAGCCACGTTCAGCGGACACGGGAGCAAGATGGCGATTCCGGGCAGGCAGTGAGTGATGCGGGAGTTAGGGTCAGGCTGGGGAAGGAGCAAGCGCGGCGACTGTTTGTGGCCGAGGAATTTTAAGCGCGCTGGAAGTGAAGGGGCTGTGTCTTCAGGGATAGAGGCGGGGAAAAACGAGAAGTCCTGAGGAACATATAGTCCCCTCCCCCATACATTTTCCAGGATGGAAGCCCGAAGTTTGAGGGAGAAACTTGTGAGGAAATAAAGGAAGTTAGGCTGAGGGGCAGAGAGCGAGACTTTTCTATTTTCCAAAAGCTCGGTCTGAGGCCCCTCAGTCTTGCTTCCTACCCCGCGCTTGAGTTTCTCCCGCTTGGATGCTCTTTGGGGCAGTAAGAAGAGAGACAGTTCCCGGCTTCCTTAGAGGGCCTTGTTCTCGGCAGAAGCTCAAGTCCTGGTTCCCGCCCTTCCTTCTCGTTTTAGGAATATTGTTCTGAGAAGCCACAGACAAGGGTAGGCATAGAGGAAATTGGGGTATACGTTGCCGCAAAAGAGACAAATATTGTATGTTCTTGGAAGTTTTAGCTTTGATGTGTAATCCTTCTTTTGATGCGGCTTCCCGTGATCTCTGCATCTTAAAGACCAAAACGCGAGAAACTAGAGTTGGATCTGATGGGCTGGTTCTCTCAGATGCTCCAAGACAAAGCAAGTGAGCTTAATAAAGTGTAATGGGAACTTTCCCCATGACTGCTTGGGTTTCTCAGTTCATTAATCCTTTAAAAATTTTCGTGTTTTACAATGTGCAATAACTTCTTTAAAACTGTGTAAGTACACAGTAGGAAGGAAAAAAAAAAGCCTTGCCGTTTTCTTGACTTGTTAGACTACAAGGATAATTTAAAGCATTTTTATTTTCAGTGGGTGTGAACTGAGCTTTCTACTAACATGTCTTTTAAAAAAATGTTACTGTTACTTCACCATCTAAAACTTTTCTGAGCTCTTCATTTCTCTTCTTTGAGTTTCACCCGTGTCCACAAATAATCATTTAGAGTAATAATTATAAAATCTTATGGCATATTAGAATTTTTGAGGTAATTGAAAATCAGAAACAGTCTATTATGTGTTCATAAAGGTCCCGACTTGTTTTAACTTGGTAGCTTCATCTGGAAGAGGTAGTAGATGTATTTTTTTTTTAACATGTAAAGATAATAGTGTTGTAATTTCTATTTCAAAAAATATATGCAGGTATGGGCTTATTTTGCCAAAGAAAACACAGCAGTTGCACCCTGTTTTGCAAAAACCATCAGTGTTTGGGGATGATTCTGATGATGATGATGAGGTAAGGGAACCTATGATTTACTCCTGCGTTGTTGGAAATATAAAATCTTACAATTTAAAAAAAAATTGAACTTGTGTGTTTGATGTCTTTGCTTTTGTTATTTGCCAATAAAAGTATTTTGTAGTATAATCTACAGAATTGTCAAAAGGAATGTTTAAAGAAGGCAACTCTATCGATTTTCTCTTGAGGTTTTTTTTTTAATGCTATGAACTTAAGTTACTTTTAAACAGTTACACAGTCTTTTCAGACAACTAAAATTGATGTAATAAAATTGTTGGTGTAAAGATCCCTAGGAATAAGCTATTAAGAGTTCAATAATTTCCTATACATTTTTATTAGCATTTTATTTTATTATAGTTTCTAATTTGTTAACCATGTTCTAAGATGACTATATAGCAGTTCTTTATGGGACTACTTTGGTTCTTATTTCTTCAGTGTCTGCTAAATGTAGCTGTTCAGTTATGACTATGGTCGTGAATAAAGTTGGCATTGATAGTACTATGGTAACATCTAATATGAACATTTTCTATTTTAACAGTCAAAAGAGTGTTTTTCGTGAAACCCACAGTTACAGCAAAAACAACTCCAGCTGTGTGTTTATCTAATACTCCAATCATTTTTTAACCCTTTGCACTTGGATGTCCCCTCTTGGGGAACATAGTAAATCTAGCAAACCATTCAGATGTCCCCTCTCACGGGACCTAAAGAAGTTGTTGGTGATTATACAGGACAAACTTAGGCAAGTGCATGTTTTTCAAAGATGTATTTTTTCCTCGAAGTTTTCCATTCAAATTGCATGAAAAAGCAAATAAAGAGATGGAATATATATTGAGATATGAAGTTGAGAAGTGATTTGCAGGAATCATGAGTGGTGTCTTTCTACATCGTCTTTGAACAACGAACAAACTGGACAATAAATTTCATGTTATTAATGTGGGAGGAAGGAAATGAGAATGCATTGTCTGCTCGAATAGGAAAACACCAGGTGGAAGATGTCAAACAAATTACCGTTGCACATGTATCAATAAACCAGCAATGCATATCAATGACGGTTTCACACGTTACTAAGTTAGAAAAATATAAGACAACATTTTGATTTTTTTGATCATAAATAAGTTCCTCAATGTCCACAGTTCCATTATAAGCCAAATATCATTACAATAAAATAATTGGTTCCAACGCTTTAATCTGAAGTGATCATTTTTCACTATTTTGTAAAAAAAAAAATGATCAAGTTGCTGGTGGGTGATCTGCAAGATGTCACCAAGTGCAAAGGGTTAATATTTCTTAAAACAGGCCTTTACATCAGTTAATCTGGTACTTCTTTTGGTCTGGCAGAAAAATAGTTTCTCTTTCAGTTTTTATTAATTTTATAATAGCATAGGTAATTGAACACATTTGATATTTCTTTGCTTCTTTTTGAAGAAATTGGCTCTGTATGGTCCCACTTTTAAAATACTGAGATATAATTTACATGTAATGAAAGTTGCAGCTTTTAAGTGTATAGGCAGATTATTTTTTGGCTCATGTATATTCCCCAGTCAAGATATTGAACGTTTCTCTCTCCCCTGAAAAGTCTTTCACACCTCTCTACAGTCAGTCTACTTCCCTACATTCCACCCTAGACAAGTGCTCACATTTCTTTTTTTTATCCTTTTTTTTTATTTTTTAAAGATGTGGGGTACAATTCAGGATTAAGTATACGAGTGGTGGTCATCGTACAGCTAAAGTTTAGGCCTCCCTTTGGTCCCCACTTTGCCTGGTTTGAGACCAAGTATCCTTACTGATATGTGTCCCCTGCATCCCCTGGCAGTTTCCAGCTCCTGCCAATCCCTTTCTTATAGTATTATGGTAAATGTTCAGGGTCCACTTACGAGTAAGAACATGTGGTACTCAGTTCTTTGTTGCTGTGATAGATCACTGAGTATGATAGACTCTGAATTCACTCAAGCTGCTTAGAAGTCCATAATTTTGACCTTCTTTATGGCTGTGTAATATTCCATTGTGTATGTGTACCACGTTTTTTTTTTATCCAGTCCAGTTTTGATGAGCAGCACCATTGGTTCCATGTTTTTGCTATTGTGAATAGTAAGCGCTCACATTTCTATCACTATAGATTAGTTTTGTGTCTTCTGGAATTTCATACAAAAGAAATCATACAGTATGTACTTTTGTGTCTGACTTCTTTTCAGTGTAATATCAGTGAGATTCATCCATGTTGTAGAATCACAGTTTCTTAAAATGGATTTTTATCCTAACAGTGACTTAAGTTTTTGTTTCATTTTTCTGTTTTTATTTCTTCATAAAGTTTTAGAATAATTGATCCTAAGAATGAATCAAGGTTGCTAGTTAAATCACTATTTATAAGCCAAATAGATTGTTTTAAAATACAATATTGAGAAAGTTACTAATTATAACTCTAGGATTTTAGAATTGTATTTTGTTGTTTCATCAGTAAATATTTTATACCTACTATAAGTTAAGAGTTGATCAGTTTTGTAGCTGTAGCCTATGTGCTTTGTACTGTGTGATGCCCTTATTAACAGTTTTTGGGGACCATATATAGAGTTGCTTTCAACAAATTTATAGTTTAGTGGGGAAGACATAAATGTAAACGTTAATATAAAGCAGACTGAAATTTGGGAAAGAAATTAACATTACTTAGGATACCTGTGTGCCTATTGTACTTGATTTGATCTTTATGATCACAGTGTTGTATTATTCTGTTTTACAGTGGAGAATATTGAAGGTCAGGTTAAGTAATTTGCCCAAGGTTATGTGGCTAATAAATAAGTGACAAGATTAGGATTTGAACACAGGCCTATCTGACCCTAAAAACTATACTCTTTTCATTCTTCTGTCTTGCCTTGTTTTAATAATAGAGTTACAAAATGTTGAAGTGTGGAGGATGAAATGATGTACTTTGCTACAGGAATAGGCATTTAAACAGCCTTCAAGACTGATTTAGATTTAAATGGATGAGAAAAGATAGTGGTGGAGATAATTTCATTTGGTAGAGGACAGCAAGAAATACAGAGTGTCATATAAGTACAAGGGATAATGTGGCTAGAGAGAAGGATTTTAGGAAAAAATTTGTTGCAGATGAGGTTGTGGCAGGATTGGACCAAATTGCAGAGTACCTTGAAATTTCTCATAAAATTTCAGCTTTATATTTTTAAGTAGTTTTTGAGTCATTCAGTGACATGATCATACTTTTATGTTGGGAAGATGATTCAGGAGAAATGAGAGATGAAGTTCAAGGTGCATATTAGAAGGCTTTTATAGTAGTTCACGTGAGAGATGATGATCTTAACTAGGGTAAAGTAAGTAGGAATAAATGGGGACAGATAAGAGAACAGAGAAATAAACAGGACCTGGCAGCCTAATTGAATGTATGGGAAAGTAAAGAGATGAGTTCTTGAGCAAGACCTTTTTTTGTCTTTTTCCCCTATTAAAAAAAATGTTACTGATATGTAATTACATACCATATACAGATTCATTGGTTTTTAAGACTTGTGCAGCCATAACCACTATCTAATTTTAGAACATTTCATCATCCAGGAGGAAACCCTGTACCCATTGCAGTCACTCCCCATTTTCCCCACCCGAAATTCTAGTGACCACTAATTTGGTTTGTTTCTGTGGGTTTGCCTGTTCTTCATATTTCATGTAAATGAAATCATGCAATAGGCAGCCTTTTGTGCCTGGCTTCTTTCACTTAGCTTAATGTTTTCACAGTTGTAGCATGTATCAATACTTTATTTCTTTTATTCCTAAATAATATTCCATTGTATGGATATACCACATATCATCCATTCACCAGTGGTAGGCATTTGGCTTTTTTGCAGTTTCTGGCTATTGTAAATAATACTGCTATCAACATTTGTGTATAGGTTTCTGTGTGGACATATGTTTTCCTTTCTTTTGGATATATACCTTGGAGTGGAATTGTTGGTTCATATGATAACTCTGTATTTTATTTTTTGAAGAACTGTCTGACTGTTTTCCAGAGTGACTGTACCATTTTGCATTCCTGTCAGTAGTGTACAAGGGTTTTGACATTTCCATATCCTTTCCAACTTTCTTATCTTTTTTTAATTGTAGTCATCTAGTGGATGTAAAGTGCTATCTCATTGTGGTTTTGATTTGCATTTCCCTGATGACCAATGATGTTGTTATATCCTTGGAGAAATATCTATTCATATAATATACCTATTTTTTAAATTGAGCTGTCATTTTATTAGGAGTCGTTAGAGTTCTTTATATATTCTAGATACAAGTACCTTATTAGACATATAATTTATAAGTATATTATCCCATTCTGTGTATTGTCTTTTCACTTTCTTCAAAATGTCCTTTGAAGCACAAAAGTTCTGCTGGGTGTGTGATTCATACCTGTAATGCCAGTGCTTTGGGAAACTGAGGCAGGAGGATCGCCTGAGGCCAGCAGTTCAAGGCTGCAGTCTCTTGAACTATGATTGAATTGAGCCATCATTGTGTCACTACATTCCAGCCTGGGCGACAGAGCCGAGATCTTGTCTCTAATATAGATAGGAAAAAAAGTTAAGTTTTGAGAAAGTTTTTTTTTTTTGGTTGCTAGTGCTTTGGTGTCATACCTAAGAAACCATTTCCTAATCCAAGGTCACAAAGGTTTACACTATTTTCTTTTGAGAATTCTGTATTTTTAGCTCTTAAATTAAGGTCTTTGATCCATTGAGTTTATTTTTATACATAGTAAGAGGTAGGGGATAGGGATCCAGCTTCATTCTTTTGCATGTGGATATCCAGTTGTTCCAATACCATTTATTTAAAAGACTATTTCCCATTAAAATGTCTGGCAGCTTTGTGGTTTGCTTTAATATACAAACACTTTTCAAAATCACTTTCCAAGGATTCAACATAAAGATTGGACATGCTTATCTTGTGGTTTCATCCTGATATATTGTGTAATGAAGCAACATGAAATTACTGCAGTATACCCCAGTTTGAGAAGGATGGAT